TTTGAGCTTCTCAGGTTAGCGCGCTTGTGAGCGTTAAATAAAATTGGGAAAAGGGACTTGATCGTTTGTGCAAGAGGACAAATCCAGAGGAGCGGCTCTTGTAAAAGTCTATCAAAAATCAAAATTTTAAAGTTGGACGGGAAACACCGTACGATTATACCCACGAGTTACATGAAAGTAACAGGTTTAGCTTATTTTCGTGCAAAAATGGTGAGAGGCTACATTTTACGTCAATTTGACGATAAGCTGAAATATGGTAGATTCACTGAGGCGCCTGGTATCAAAATCTGTCATCTTCACCTTGGTCAAATTCCGGCAAACTGCAAAAAATTGTGGTGCCCGTAAGTGTACCGTATATTTTTCCATGGAAGTTGCCTCATGATAAGCCCCTGAGGTATAAAAATCAATATTGAAAGCTTCGAGGCAATGATAAAGGCAGACTTCTACCAATTTAAAGAACGCACATTTAGAGATTCTAATTTAAGATACTTAACTTGCTGTTTTCTCATTTTATTTGATGCCTGAGAATCGATTTTGGCATCGAAAAAGCTGTATAGGCAGAAATATTTCAGTATGAAAGGATGTGATACTACCTTTTATGCCTCAACTTGCTTAATTTTCTTTCCCTCAAATCAACCTATTTTGACTTGTGAACTTGACGAAGTGACAATATCCATTCAGATTTGACACAGGAGTTTCGTGTCGATATGTTTTTGCAATATTGAATACAAAGGTGCCAGTATTAAATCGGAATTTTTCAGCCGTAGAGCACTTGTCTTGTTCCGTGAGCGGTCGCATATTTTAGTTTCTTCTTAAAGGACAAATTTGAGCATAAAATCATAATTTTTGAAAATTACTCATCATTTTGCATTCGACGTACTCAGCGCGTAAGTCAACACACCAAGAGACCAAGACTCTACTCTTTGTAGTTCGCGGTCGGGCCAACATAAAACGCCTTCAATTGCGTATGATACTGTGCAACACACCAAGGTTGATATAGTTGTATTCTTAGGTTGGAACCTAACTCAAGTAAACTGCTCTGCTGAATAAGGAATTCCGACCTGCTAGCTGCTCTATTTTGAATTACCTTACGTATGTTATGCTCAGTATTGCTCATGACAAAACTTGAAGCCTTCCTATATTTAAAAAGAAAGAATTATCATTATTCATGCCGCCAAAGAAAGAAGCTCATTTAAAGGAAAACTTGTTCTTGAAACTTTTTTAGTTATTCAGTGCCGCCGTTATGTATGGTGGGATATCTTTTGACACAAAACTCAAATTTTTAGTTGAATCTCAAAAATCAAAGATAGCGGAGAAATTGTTATACTGGCTTCTCCAAAAGTATCTTATCCTTGGAATTATGATATGCATTTATTTTCTGTTCAATTTCAAAATCAATTTACCTACAGCTATAATATTGATAAGGTCGCGCTCTTCATGAAACTACTTGTTTTATCTTAATAGTGCGTCACCAGATTTTCAGAGGAAACATATTCCCTGATTTTTCCACGTTCCTGACTGCAAAACGAAAATTATACCTAATTGTTCTGGTCAACGATGCGCCAGAGTGCATTACTACACTAACGAGAGCTTTAAGTCTTTTGTTTTCAAAAGATACATCGAATTTCTCATTAAAAAAAAAAAAAAAAAAAAAAAAAAAAAAAAAAAAAAAAAAAAAAAAATACAGGAAACAAAATATTTGCTCCGGCAGCCGCGGGAACTAAAAACGAAGAGGGAAATTGAGGGAGAGAAAAAAATTCAGAATACCATTTGATTTTCTTAATTTTACCCATCTTTGAAGAAAAATGTAATCTTCTGATGTAAGTTGGTTTCAGACGTAAATTGATTTTAATTTGGACCTGAGTACTATGAGCAATGAATGAGCCATGGAAGCGGCAGAGGTAAAACTTGGCGAATGAAAAGTTAGGAGATTAATTCGATAATAAATCGGTTCTGTCGCTTTTCGTGAGCAGCCGAATAAAGATATTAAAATTCTTTCTCAGACGGAGGACTGTAAAAGAGTATAACGGCATGAGAAATTGATTAATGCAAAATACTTTAAGTGTACACCTGAAGTGGTGACGGCTTTGCCTAATTTCAAATTCAACTTGCGCAAACTTTAAGCTCTGTTTGCAGAGCTTTGGACGAAACTTTCTGTATCATGCAAAGTTTTCTAAGGACTTTACAATAGAGTGAAAACTAGACTTAATTATTTAGGTGAGCCGCTTGAATATACGGTCTTGAGCCTCTTGAATCAATAAACAGGCAAAAGCGATAAGTCTCTTAAAAAGGCTTCTTGGAAGTTTCCCGGATTTCAGGAATTCACAACGACCGGTGAGGAAAGTGTGTACAGCCGGCGTCTCAGCTTTCCTTGTAATTTGGAAAACAATTTAGGAATATTGGATTCTCTTCATGGGGAAATAACCTGGAATGTGAACGAAAAGATCGGAGGAGGAATTAGCTATTATCAGAGGAACCAACAGCCCCCCCCCCCAATACTAAAAAAAAAGTATTTTTCTTGGAGATTGAAAAATGTAATAACTGCTTGATGTCTATACCTGGAAATCATTTACCTCGATCACGGTGTATGAGAATGTTAGCTCCTGTTTTAATTTTTCAAAGAGAAACTATTCACCTTTAGTGCTTTTAATTCTCACAGAATAATATTCTTTGGAGGAGAAATTACTGGAATTCCAAGGAATTGCGTTTATGAGCTTTTCAATTAAAAACTGAAGTATGACGGGAAGTCTCCACTGTCACCGATCGGGTTACATCTTTCTGAGTTAAGATATGGGTGAGCAATTAAATCTCGTACGAATGGATGAGGGGTCCATGAATTTTTACTTGCCTTCTATCAATATGGGAAAGATGGAAAGCGCTGTGAACGTCTCGAGTAATCCATTAGGTGCAGAAAATATTCTTAACCCATGAATGTGCTCCCACAGGGAGCAAATAGCTTCAATTATTGTGACCGAATTTTGATTCAAATGACCAAACTATAACATCGGTTCGGGTAAGCAGATATTTCTATTCAAGTAATTGAACTTTTCAGAAGAAAATGCAAGTCTAATACAAACGAAGTATAGTTTATATGCCTAAAAACTCAGTTATCCTACTTAAAAAGTTGATCTGACTTCATATAGCAATTTTCTTCGCTGCATATCCCATCATTACATTGCGGCACAAAATGAAAACTTAGTTGGAGGTATTGCCACTAAAAGGTATTAAATAAAAAACAAACTACGAATTGAGTAAATATTACGTCCATAGGGCCTTTTAAAAATAAATAAAATAAGATCCTGGGTGTTTCCTTGGAAATAAAACCATCTAGCGTGACATACACTCACACCCACCCTCACACACAAAACAAGATAAGATGAAGCTAGACTGAGGAGTTTTGATTCATAATTTAATGCATTTAATTCGCACGTAGACAGATTATAGGATGAGGAAAGAGATCAATTTTTGGCGGCTCTGGGTTCTGTTTTTATACTGGATGAATATTCTGGCATTGGAGGTGGATTGGAAATTAGATTAATTTCCGGGATAGAGGCACGCAACTCAATATATCCTACTTTGGCCGGTGGATGCTATTGATAGAAGCAATATTGGCCGGAGTAATGGATAAATTTAATTTTTGGCGCTTGGGACTGGGGCGAATAGCCGTGGGTTTTCATAGAATCGCGGGCTGCCCGGGCACTGCCGAGTGGCGGGTGGTGAGTGCGAGGGCGTGAAGGGGCGAGCGCTGTTAAATAGGCCGCTGCCCGCTCCTCGCTCGGATCGCCAGGTCTCATTGATTTAAAAGGCGGAAACATAAATAATAATGGCCATTAGAGTAAATCATCATCGGGACTCAATGAACTCAGTCGAAAGCGAGGACATTAACGAGGATGCGTTTGATAATTAGTCGAGCGCCAGCGCCAGCGCCGGCCCAGGAGTAGTCGCGCCTCGCCCCTCGCCCCGGCCGGGGTCACCATCCCACCCCGCTCCGGCCACCATCCCACCCCGCGCACACCTCTAAAGCATACGCCAGGCACCGCCCCGACCCCGCTCTAATCTCGCCATCAAATAAGGGCTCCGCTATCAAAAAAACTATCCCCAAATCTCGGATTTTTCAACTCCCCTCTAGCTTTCACGGAAAAAAACGGATTCCTGATTTAACGATTCAACTGTCAAAAAAAGTCACTGCAATGTTTCAAATGTACACTTTTCAATAATGGAAAGCTAATTTACCCACGGGGGTGGTTAAAGTAGCATTTTTCTGTCGTAAAATCTACATTGAAACATTGCAGTCATTTTTTTAAACTAGAAAACTGTTAAATCGACGATTTAATTTTTTCCGTGTTCGAGTACCGTTCACTCACAGTTCACTGTTCCCTCATGCTTTTCGGCAAGACAAATCGGTAACTTGTCATATTCGGAGACAAAATCTGTGTCCCATAGGAAAATAAAATCTGCTCAGTGAGAGATTCACAGGGCTCTAAATATATATTCAGAATCGACATAAAAATTGTGACAGAAAGTTTGGCAACTTTGAAATGTAGTTACTTTCCCTCGTTTGCAGACGATGATTGAAATTGATAAACAAAGCGATAAATACAGAAGACGAAGGGAAGATTGGGGGGACCCTGTTGGGCGAGAAACGTGGATCTCATAGACTGGGCAAAAAAATATGGTAAAACTGTAAGGTCTCTCGTCGGCTGCCGTTAGTTAGTCTATAACTGACCTTCTATGTCCATAGCAACCATTCAATTTCGCCAAAAAAATCGCTTCAATTTCCTTCTGTCTACCGCTTTGTGTAACTATTTTGTAGGCAATGCGACAACTGGGCGGGATCCGACGAAATTTGGACAGTGGGAGGATGTTTCGGAGGGGGCAAGAACTGTCCTGGGGAGGGGCATGCTAGGTGGGGGATAGGGGTTGGCGGGGAGGGCGATTGAATTAGGAGGGAGAAAGGAGGGCGAATGGGGAATGGTGAGTGGCGAGTGGCGGGTACTTACCATTCAGGACATGGACGAGGATTGTTTTCGGATTGGAGTTGGATGGATTACAGGTGTACTTGCCCGAGTCCGGGCTGGCGGCCCGTTGAATGAGCAAGTAACTCGTCGTCACCTCCCCCTTCTCCGTGATCACGCTCACGCCGCCCCGAGGCGAGTCGTAGTTTATCTCCTGCAACAGAATATCACTCCAATTACCACTTATATGTGAGAAAAAACACTCACAAATTTGGCCTCAACTCTATTCAACAAATAAAATAAGTAAAGTAGTCCTGGGGCCACACTACTTTGCGGGGAAAGCAAGGCTCAAAAGTTCAGAAAGTTTTCGATTAGAGTCAAAAGTTTTTCAACTCTCATGAGTATCCGTACAAGACTGAGGGCGGAGAAATATTTCAATGCATCTGTCTCAACTCAGCACGCTCCTTCTTCAGTCTTATTGGAGAGTTAATTGTTTGACTCAAATTTAAATATTTTTGAACTTTTTGGCCTTGCTCCTCCAAAATAGTGTGACCCCAGCACTGCTTGCAAAATGGACGTATTTCCGCCAAACGGAACTATGTGCATTATGACGGGAGCCCTGGTATGCACATATTCTTATGGGACTCAGAGCTCATGTCTTAATGCACATAGTTCCGTTTGGCAGAAATACGTCCAAATGTAGTCCAATTAAGGGAGAAATGGAGGTGTTTTTGCTAAAAAACAATTAAATACAAATTCGTTCAGTAAAAAAGAAACACGGAAGACACAGATCTCATATTCTTGTAAATCGCAGGGAAAAGCGATCACCAGGACTTTGCGAGCGGAATGCTGTCAACTTCTCAACTTGCAACAACTCACGTCAACAAAGTATGAATTTCATTAGCTAAGAATTTCAAAATCACGACCTCAGCGTGAAGCGCCTTCAAATCCCGGCAATACGCATAACGCATTGCCAAGCAGTGAGATTAGTTGCCTATCAGAACCAACCCTTACTCAGGTCGCTAATTTCACGACAAGTGCTGGAGAAAGTGCTAGCTGGGACTATGTTTCTAAGCAGAAAAAAACGTATCTTTGAATTGTATGCATGATATTCTCGATGTTTCGAGGATGTACCTGCGGATATCAGTTTCGAGACCGGATAAACGCACACGATGGTTTTTCCGCCAAAAAAATTATTTCTTTATTGTAATTGTTCATTTTTCAACCACGGAGGGAATTGGTAACTTTCTCAGATTTGCCGCGGTGATACGTGATTATTTTATTTTTTTCATATTTTGGGATGTAAATCCATGGATATCAGCAGCTAAACTGGATGGATACGTTATTGTTATTCCGCAGAAAAATCATTCCTTCGTTGTGGTTGTTGATTTAGAGACCGTTAAAAAAAATCGAGAATTTTCCATGATCTTACGCGGTGATATGTGATTCTATTATTTTTCCCATGTTTTGAGGATATATCATCAATGATTCATATACTGTTGTATGAAAGAGGAAAACTGTTCAAGCGTTCGAATGTTGCCAAATTTCTCTAAATTTTTTCAGATATTGAGAATATTTTTGTATGAAATTTTTAGATAGGCTAAATTAATTTTGGAAGAAAATTTCTAAAAAACTCAAAGGAAGAAATGGAAAAGTGAGCTAGTAATTTGAAGTTCACCGGAGGAAATTTGGCAAGACCCGAACACTGTTTTTCCTCATTTAAATGGAAGTAAAACGACCGACAAGTATGCATCTATCGATAATAATCAATTACTAGAGAGGCTGGAGGTTGCCTCGCAAAGAATCAATATAATTCTACTGGATTGAAAAAGGAGAAATAGAGACAAGAGAACAGAATGCTCAATTGGACAATTTGTACACGGCAACATTTTTGGTAGACTGCGCAATTTGAGACATAGTAAAGAAAGAACATGATTTTTCGGTTTTCGGCTACTCATAATGCGAAAACAAAAGTTGAGCTATTAGCCGACTTTACAAAAAGAGAGAATATCAAAAGAAAGAGATGACGAGAGAGAAAAGAAAAAAAGAATATTAAATTGGATAAAAATTGAATGAGTCGGATGAAGATGCTATTGAATTTGACAAAGACTAAATCCTGAGGCTTCATGTGGAAGCACGCCACATTGCAATTGAAGGTTGACAGCAAAGCTAAATGAGTGAATAGAAGATTAATCAACTGTACAATGCCTTGGTTTAAACTCATTTGGCTAAAGTTTACATTAATTTAATGAAATTCTGCAAAATACACGAGTGCCCTACTGCAGAGTTAGAAGCTCTCATCACATTAATATCTCCAAAGTCGTATATCTTCTCTGAGTTCCGTGATTTACGACAGAAATTTGGCAAGAGAGCGGTCGCAATCTAAACCCATTGTGTCGTGGAAGAAGGACGAAAGTTTCCTGGTCGAATCAATTCGTTTAATTTTAGCGTTACCCGACTCTGACGCCTGGAAGCTTTGGAGCTTTCGTCGATGGATTGCGGCTTTTAATCTTGGTTTCGGGTCGGCGAACCAATTTTTCAGATCGTATCCGCGCAGGAAGTGGCGCGGCATTTGGCTTTTGCAACTGAAATTAAGAGGGAAATGTACCCACAAATCTGCAGTCGTTCCCTGCCTTTTTCATTATCCCTGCCCTATCCCTCTCCCTCCGCACAGATATTGGCAGTGCCGTGTCTTGGTCTTGGATCAAAGTTTTCCGGAGAAGTCGAGCTCCGGGCTTTACAATTTTAGGAAACCTTCCCAATATCTCTTCAAAGAGTGACACATTGTGCACTTTTAAAGCAAGAATGCTGTGACATGATTTCCCATTTTTTTTCCTTACGACAAAACGTCCTGTTCGAGGAACAGAAGCAAACATTCGCCATTCCCATTTTCTGAATGATCAATGATCATGCCGTACCATTGAGGAGTCGTCATGCTGAAAAAATACGACACGCATGTGATCAAATTTTTATGAAGTAGAGCTTCGGTTTGAGAGGCGAATGCAAAATCTGGTGTGTAATTATTAAGCACGGGAGTCCGTTGAGTACACTGCGTACTATCAAAATGCGTACACATACGAGAGAAAATACTTTACAGTTCGATTCTACAGGTTGAAACAAGAATTTTTTGGGCATGCTTTCGGAACTACGGCCCTCTACATCACAGGCAGGTTAACACTGACAATGAGCTGAAATATAGTCCTATCATTGTCGGTTATATCAATGACGAAATACAAATTTTAGGGAAAATTCTTCAGTATTGAACCTTCAATTTTTAAGAGAATTAAGTTCGTGATATGATCGAAATTTGTCATAACTCTCAAAAATATCTTAATAAATAAATGAATGAGAAAAAAACACTGAGAAGTGGCCCGAATACCGTATGAAACGAGGTGACAACAATGGTGCTGGGTCCACACCTTTTCGCGGGAAATGAACGCCAAGAAGTTCCAAAAATTGTAATTCGTTAGAGTCAAAAATGAATCTTTTTTACTCTAATGAGTGCCAGTACAAAACTGAGGGGGGGGGGGTGTTCAGCTCAGGCAGTTTGCATTGGAATATTAAGTTGGAGTCACGGCGAGAGATCTATACCGGTTTGGGTCTTTTTAGACCTCATCAGTAGATTACACTCGTCAGTGAACCCAACTTAACATGCCGCCAGGCCCGCCACAAGGGGGGAGGATACTGGGTCCCTGGTACCGGGGCCCGTGTTAACCGTGAAAAACCACTACGAATTCACATGCAACCCTTGTTTCGTAAGAAAAATTGAAAAATTTACCCTAAAAATTTCGCAAAAGGTGAATAGATTTTCAGAAACACGCTGGAGCACTATAGAATTCTTCTTAAATTTTCAAAGAAGCATACTTCTTGGAATATTTCTATCTATTTTTAAGATTTTCAGTACAGAGGGATATTTTTAGTAACTGCGTTTCATTTTCTTCCGTCGTCAGATGCTAAGAGTCTCTAGTCTAGGCATCCTCGACTTCAATGGCTCATGGCTCAACTCCCTTGCCATACACAAACGAAGGGGGACTCCAGGGGGGCCTGGCCCTCTTAGAACTGAAAATAGTATCTTATGCCCTCCCGCCAAATAAAAAAAAAAATAAAAATTTTCCAGATGTTTCGAATGCAACAATTATTCGCAAGTATTTTGTGCTGAAAGTAGAAAAAAAACATAATTATTCCGCAGAAATTGATGGAAAAATTATTTATGGAAGCTTCAAAATGCGTCCGATTAGTCGTATAAATTCTGAAATTTCTCGGGGGATGCCCCTCGAAGCCCCCCCCCCTCCGTGCTTGGGGCCCGGACCTTAAAATTGGTACCAGGGCCCGAGATGGGATGCGCCGGGCCTGCATGAAGGCTATTTCCATTTAAATCTTCCGTCACATTCTTACGGCGCAATGATACAACTATTTGAACTCTCCGGAATGCGTGAGGTATCACGCCGCATTTGAAGGCGTTTTCAAAACAGCCAAGTTCCGTTATCGGAATAATCGTTTTGCATAGTTCATATTATTTTGTTTCCATTTCTAACCACTTGTTTAACCCTAGTCTGCCTGAGTGGGGTCAGATTGACCCCACGGGAGTTTCAACTCTTTGCCATTTCTCGTGGTATGCACGAATTTTTTTGTCCTTCACCAATAGCTCTACAAAAACATCTAGGAACACGATTTTGAAGGGGAAAAAAAAATGTGCATGAGAGATCAAAAAATTCACGAGTACTCCTAAAAAGCCTGAGCGGGGTCAGATATCCTTATAGCATATATTTTACCGTTTAGCATCACAAAAGCTTACTTTGAAGGTGTATTCATTTTTCTCTTTTTAATTTTTTTCAGAAACTTATAAAACAAGCAAAATTTTTCAGATTTTTTTCGTTTTCAGTATTTAGTAGCCCTATGATTTTTTTTTCTCATGCTGAGAACAACATGGCAACATGTGTATGATAAAATGGTTGCATACCCTGCGCCGTGTTTTTTAAAACTTAGATATGCTTTATGGTTAAGGCCTGTAAGGTTAGTGCACTGATATTAACTAAAAACATGAAAAAAACATAGCTAACTACTTGATTTTCAGCTGGGGTCAAATTGACCCCGCTCAGGCTTTCTCGTTGGTTCAGAGGCTCAGGCAGACTAGGGTTAATTATAATCCTCCTATAAAAACCACCCATTTGCTAAATACAATTCTAGCTGAAGCGCACTTCAGCTGTGCATTCA